CTTTAAATAATTCCATTCAAATACCAAATATTTGTCAAATAACTGTTTTGTTCAATGTTATAGTTTCTACGTAATCCATGTTTAGCTGTTAAGTTGTTCATATAATTGTTTGTTTTTATTAATAATTTTTCTCAGATAAAAACCAGTTTGATATATTTTGTTTCCTACTTAATTGTTTTATAATTTTGTTTTTAATGATAATTTGAAATCCGTTCTTACATGCTACATAGTCATAGATGTTATGAAGCCTCAAAATATTATTTCACCTTAAGATTGACACAATTTGCTAGAAACTTGTCAATCTAATCTTTGTGTAACCAATCTATGGTTTTATAAAAGTATTATACACTTAAAGTAGCAAAACTAATCATTCCATTGTATGCAATAAGTGCACGTAGTTTATTCAAAATTTGAACGTTTATGTCAAGAAGATTATGAAATCAAACATTTTCTGATTTCTGCTTTGGTGTTATCACAGTCTCTTATTTGTTTAAGGCACAACACTGTTTACTCTGTCAATAAAACCGTTCAGTTGCTTCTAATGGATACTTTGGGTACTTTAAAACATTGTTGTGAGTGAAACACAGGGAGCATCTGCATATTGAAACAAATTATAAAAGACCATATTTGTGTCACAAACTGTGACTTGAAACATTAGAACCGCTAGAAAAACAAATATTTGAACCGAAAGAAGGTTTATGTTTCTGAAAACAACAACAACTAGGAGTGTAAAAATTAAAAATCATACAGTTATCTTTTTTGTTACATGTGTATTAATTGTCTTCTTCGTTTCCGTGCTTACTTGTGTTATTAAAGTTTTCACCATATATTCATAAAAAATGTTTTTATACATTTGTCTACTGTTTTACTTACTGTATTCTCCATTTCATATTACGTATTTTCTTGGTATTGTTTAAAACTTGTAGAATATCTAGTGTAAACGTTGACACGTGGAATAACTAGGGTGTGTAGAAATGTTCCAACTTTTGCTTATTAGTTAGTTAAAGAATATTAATAACAATTTATATCAGTTTCTAGCTCTTATAACACAGTTTAACCAAATACACCAGAAATTGGAATAAGATAATCACAATAGCAATAAATCCGCTAGAGGGGGTTAGAATTAAAAGCATTATTTATTTAAGATTTATTCTCTTAAAATATTAATTTATGGGTAGTATGGCGGAGACAGCATTAACTGACATTACTATCTTCGATATTATTTTGAATTAACATCTCTAATATGAAAAACTAAATAAAAAGGAAAGAAAAATAAATTGGAGTAAGCTATCCTACTTTACACAGAAAAGTTCATAACGTACACGCGGATAAGTGCATGCATTACAAAACAAATAAGTTTATTTATTTCAAATCATTGCAATCATTGAAAGATTAATCATGGCCTTTCTTAAATTTCCTAGATGCACAGTTAAAACACGTTCATTTAAACAAAACAACTTCATTAAACAATAAGGAATCCAGTTTCGTTGCAAGAAATCCTACTAAAATGATTTTTAAGCAGAGCTGTTTAACATATATGTGTGTAGAAGTAGATTAATTATTAAGAATATGACGAATGATAACTTATACACCATTTCCCGTTATATAGAACCAGTCAAAATTTTTATTATAAATATATATGGTGGTGCCTCCTTCCAACGCCATATCTCCCTTAAAAAAAGAAAGAAAACCTACAGCTTCCTTTAGGACCAGTTTATGATACCAATAAAAGTAAGACACTTGTAAAATAATATGTAAAATCTAAATACAAGTAGCTTGCTAACAAAAGGTCACCGCTATAGCTACATTAAAGTAAATGACATAATCATTAAGTTTTTAATTATAGGGTAGATTTACAAGATGGGGAACGAATATTAACCAGTAAGATTGAAGAAAACATTTCAGCAGCCTTACTTCGTTTCTAACATACCATAAGTGTATTGTTTGTTTGTTTGTTTTGAATTTCGCGTAATGCTACACGAGAGCTATCTACGCAAGCCGTCCATAATTTAGCAGTAAAAGACTAGAGGGAAGGCAGCTAGTCATCACCACCCACCGCCAACTCTTGGGCTACTCTTTTACCAACGAATAGTGGGATTGACCGTTACTTAATAACGCCTCACGGCTGAAAGTGCGAGCATTTTTTGTGGGACGGGGATTCGAACCCGCGACCCTCAGATTCCGAGTCAAGCGCCCTAACCACCTGGCCATACCTGGTAATACACCAATCTTTATTTTATGAACAAAGCATCAACAAAAGAAAGGGTAACAAAATTTACTAACAATAAAAAATTTGAAGTTTACATGTTCGCTATTTTTTTCCTAGTTTCTTCTATAAATACTGCTCATATTCAAATTAAATAAGTGAAAACATCACTTATTCATTGATTTATGTTGATTATACTCGGCTTAAACGGTGGACTTGACAAAATAGAAGTAGCATCACAAAACCATAATTTAATCTCAATATTCTTCGTTGATAATCACATGTCCTTTTCATTAACGCCCCCCAGTGGCACAGTGGCATGTCTGTGGACTTAAAATGCTAGAAACCAGATTTCGATACCATTTTTGATTGATATGAATATTTTTCAATGATGTACAGAAAAATACATATGGTATTCATACTTTGTTAATGGTTCATATGAATTAGGTAGATTATTTTGTTATAGTTATTTTAGTCTAGTCTATCTTTTTGTTATTTCTCTACACAATTATAATAAATCGTTTAAGCACTTCTCTCATAAGCGTTGGGTTTCATTGCATTATTTGAAACCTTTGCAGAGAAGTTCGTTTTACATGCTATTGGGCTTTCTTATCTATTATATGTTTTGTTGTCTCTTTTTAATATAGCAAAATTCCATTTTATAGGAAAAAAAAAGAATGTGAGATGACATTTATGACAAGTTTACCTGTCTGGCTGTGTTGGTTTAATTTGTGTTTTTTTTTTTGGAATATTGACATTTAGAAATGGCTATTACATGTACATTAGTTAACGACTCGCATCAACGTTGTCGTTATTTTTATGCCTTTTCAATTAATTAAGAATTAAATGTTTTCCATTTCATACAGTTTACTTATCAATCTGTATGTCAATCTGTTGACGTCATAACGCATTCTTCCATTGCCGAAAAAGCTCGTAAGTAATGAGAGAATTCAAAATCTATATATGTAGAGACAATTTTTGTAAAGCACTATTAATATATATACACATTCTATATTGATTTCTATATTAATATATATATATATATATCTATATTAATTTCTATATTAATATATATATATATATATATTCTATATTAATTTCTATATTATATATATATATATATATATTACTATATTAACTTCTATATTAATATATATATATATATCTTTGATTACGTTTGAAGTGATTAAATGGCTTTTATGTAAATCTGTTTTTCCTCCTTAATAATCTGAATTGAAATATAATAGAATAAAAGGACAGTCATTATTTTTATGTCTAGATTATGGAAACATTATGATCTGTGCCAGGCGTGGCTTAGTGGTTAACGAGCTGCGGATCGAAAAGTCCAGGGTTTTGCGACGTGAGGTGAATAAACATACTTTCAGTTGTAACAATCCATCCTGTTATTCAGTTCAGAGAATCAAACAAAACACCTGTGTCCGCGAGTTTTGCTGACTGGCTAACTTCCCTCTGGTCATTAGCTCAAAATTAGGGACAGTTATACCTGAATTCTAGGGGCCACCGACCTGGCCAGATGCACAAAAGATGCCGTTCAGGTTGAAAATCTAGATTTCAGTCTATTATCATCAGTTCATCTAAACTTTACACAAAGCGCTAGTTATAGTAACATACTAACAGCATTCGTGTGAAGCACATAAAAATTCAGTTTCAATCAATAGAAACGTTGATGATCTTTATGGTTCTGGAGAAGTAGAAACTCTGAAACTACTTCATATTTTCCAAGGCCTCTTTTTGTACTATATACATTAATAATCATGTTGTTTGATTAATAATACAAAGATATGCGTAATGTTAACTGAATGGAAATTTGCATGAAACATTTTTAAATAAACTGTGATTTTCTAAGTCTCAGTAACTCTTTTTATCACCAATGGAAAGTTCTTTTATCTTTTAGGACCATGAGAAAAACCTAACAATTTCATCGTGTTAAGGAAATATACAGTTATGCAATTTCGTTTTCTATCGACGTTCTATGAAGCATAACAAAGCAAACAAAGTGTTAGTTATGATATCAGACAAACAACACTCGTGTCCAAGCACATAACAAAACTGTAGTTTTTAATTAAATCAACGGAATGGTTGATGATTTTTATCGTTTTCGTGAAGTAGAACTCTGAAACTACTTTAGATTTTCAATGAGCACTTATAATACTATACATTAAACTTTATGTTGCTTTAATTAATAATTCAAAAGTAAGCGAATAGTTGATTAAACGGAAATTTGCATGAAGTGTTTGTCAGCATTCAGGGATTTTCTCAGTAACTCTTTTAATCAATACTGGAAAACTATATGCCATTTTTTTGGGGCCATTAAGAAAACTTAGTAATTTCATTTTGTTAACGAAATATAGAGTTACTCCGTTTCGTTAATATTATCTTGTTTAGGAAATATAAAGTTACTCCGTTTCGTTTTGTTTTTTTAACTGACGTTCAACTACGCATCACGGAGAACATTGGTTGCTAAAGATTTCTCGTGCTTACAAGAGTGTCGTGTGCATAGGTGGAAATCTGGCAAGATACTTTTTACTTTGACGTCACTGTGTGTCTCACGTGATCACTGAACCTCAGAGCTTATATATATATGACTGTGTGTGTGTGTGTGTGTGTGGACCGCAACAATTACAGATAATAACAGTGGCTAGATTCGAGCGAAGAGTACTTTTTTAAAAATTATGTACTTCGGAAGACATGGATCTTCCCTCCAAAATCAAACTTTAATGGTTTAGTGTGCTTCGCATTGTAAAAGACCACTAAAATTATTAACGATTTCATCATGACCTTACAGGTTCCACGAAGTGCACCAGACCTGCGGCGATTGTCCTGTGTTGAGATTTCTTACCGCACTAAAAGAGGAAGTTCCTTAACTCCTGCAATAGAAAAGTATACGCACGTTCAAAATATTTATTCTCTCACCGCTGTTCGTCGAAATAGCCAGCAGCGGCCTTTAGAAAACCTCCATGTTCCTTACATGAAAGACCCAAAGTATAAAAAAACCAAGCGATCTCATTCTATGCAAAGTTCGTCTCGTCTTATTAACTGTGATTCAACAAGCACGTTGCTCTTCCGACAGAGATTCGCAAGTTACCCGTCTGATGTCAGAGCCTTAGAAGATTCCAGATTTTCGAGTTTTGTTGGAGGTGATGGTTGCTATCAAAGGCTACGAAACTTTTCCGTGACGTCTAAAGGAGTGTTAAACCAAGGGGATTCTTTCCGTTCATCTCCTTGTAACTTATCGTCACTTGTATCGCAGGTGCACTCGGGTTTCGAGAACAAGGACAACGTCCTCAATTCTCCAACCATCCTTCACCACTCTTTCATCGGAGAGAGGGACATTCCTGTCACCACCTATACGGTGATAGTAACTGGAAGCTCCGAAGTTGGGAAATCTTTTCTAACTCAACAGTTTACTACGTCTGAGTATATGTGTACATACGACAATATGACCGGTAATTTGTTGCCTTTTTAACTTTCCCTCTTGTCTGTTGCTTTCTCTTTGTACTATTTCTTGTTTCTTATAAGTTTATTACTATTAGGCGCAGTGAATTTATATTGAGCATTTTGAAATATTTCAAGAATCTTATTACAATTAATAACCACCTTACGTTGGACAGTTCATAGCTGTATTATAACTTATAGCTATTTTGGCTTGATAAAGTTCAGTAGTCGAAATTCGTTTGAGACTCTTGTTGTGAAGTAACTTTTTGTATTCAAAAGTCTGAATCATTTCCAAAAGTTTATGTTAGCATCATGATTTTATGTTCAATGTTTTTATCAAACATTTTGTCAGTTACTGCCATTGTTTTTTAAGTAGTTTGAACAATCAAATATTTTTATATTATAGAAAAAACTTGTATAACTCAGCCTTAGCTTTTCATAGAATCCGAAAACCTTGTTGTTTGGATAGCTCCTTAAAATTTTAGTTATTAGTGGTAATGCCTTTTAAGATTACAACAAACGCTTAAATTTAACTGTTGTAAGATAAAATGTGTGTTACGAATGTACAAAATTGATTGTTAGAATGAATATTTGTATTTTTAGTATACATTACTGTTATTGTAATATTTCTATGAAATAGTATTACTTGATTATCGTAAGGATATAATTTATTAACTTCATGTCTCAAAAGTACATGCATACAAGTATCGATTCTAAAATGACACTGTTGCATTTTTAAAGTTGATGAAAATTATATTATTTTCAATGTAACGTTGGAAATTTTGGCATTTAAAACAAAGTTATAGTTTCAACAAGATAAATAAATAGTTTTTCTAGGTTACAGTGTTACAGTTATTTGTTTTAATAGTAAATTAATGTTAGTGTTTATTTTAGCATAATATTTTTTGTCGTGTAAAAATACGATTACCGTCTCCTATAATGGTTAAATCTATGCACCTTTACCTGTTATTAAGCATTCGATGGTCGTCACTTGTCCATTATAGCATAAGTCATATTATAGAAATTATTCTCGATATTCCTTTCTAAAGGTCTTCGTAACCCCCAGTGGCTCAGCGATAACTCTGAAAGCTTATAGCGCTTAAAACGAGTTTCGATAACCGTGGTGGGCACAGTACAGGTATCTTTGTGTTTAACAACAAATAAGCAAGCAAAGAACAGCGTTGTCCTTAACAACGAAATGCATTTACACTCATAACACACATTTGTTGCTAACTTATAAATCCATAGGTGTATGTGAGCAGCTCGAACTTCACCAGAAAAAACAAAGTCACACGACTAAAACCTGCTCAAAATCTAGGCTTTCAAAGGAACAGACGTGTGACAAAAAACCGCGAATGTAGAGTTAACCACAGGCCTTTTATGATATTTGATTTCGTGGACTTTTAAACTGGTAAGAGTAAAAAATACTTTTATTACACATTTTGTCGAAGTAAAAGATAACACAATTGAGATGTTTTACCATCATTAAGATTATTAAGATAAATTCAATGATTTACTGTGTTAAACTTTCTCGAAAACATTATGTTCTTAAAAATTCGCGAGTCTAAATAGATGAAATATACAAAAAATAACTTTAGAACAAGGAATTCAGTGAAAAAGTTTAGAAATAACAAATTAACGTATATGGATAGTTATACAATATAAAGTAATCTATTTGAACATAATTAATCACGATACTTAGTTTTATAGTGAACCATCACTGTATATTTATAATAGCCATATTATATTATAGGCGCACTATTTGTTTGTTTGTAGTTAAGCACAAAGCTAAACAATGGGCTATATGTGCTATGCTCACCACAAGTATCGAAATTTTTAGTGTTATAAGTCCATAGACTTATCATTGAGCAACTGGGGGGAGGGCAGACATATTATAACCATAATTAACTTCAGTTGTAAGGATATTTTATTTGGTTTTATGGTTTACATATTGCCTCTGTAAGCTGACGTTCTTTCATGAATTTGCGTTTCTTTCATATTTTTAAGGATTATGAATAATTGTTGGAAATATATTTTTAGATAACTGTATAACATACGAGAGACATTTAGAACCGTGTCATTTTAAAACCATAAAATGCACATCAATGATGTTAAAGATGTACGTAAACGGGTTCCACGGCCTCCCATTAAGTGCAATGCATTTTCTTCATCGTTCCGTAATCTTAATAGCTTAATAGTATAAGTCATAACACTTTTGAAACATTTGATTTCGTGTTCTTACTTTATTTCTTCAGAAGAAGGAGACAATACTGCAGTAACCGTGGTGCTAAATGAGGAAGAATCCACCTTAGTTTTTACAGAACAAACCCTGGTGGATGATGAGGTAAATTAAATGTTGATGCTGTTGGTAACTTGTGAACTTGCCATATAATTGATAACTTTTTACTGAACACTGCTCTTGTAGCATCTTTGAGAATAACTTCAAATTAAAATTTATAAAAAAAAATTCCCATGATATAACTATAAAACACCGTAACTTGCTTTGAATTTGGTACAATGTGTGAACAATACTTACAGGAATAATGAATAAGTTAATATAGAAACTAAGCATATGAAATGTTGGTATTATTCAAACAGAAAAACTTTGCATTAATTGCAGTTATCTTAAGCCTATAAATCTTTGGAAAAATATTAAAACCTAAAGTGATTCATGATAAAACTTATGAAGCATATCACCAAAATCGAAATAATGATTTAATTGAATTACTTTAAGCTACATATATATATATTTTTAAATTGTACGGTTATGACTATAATTAATTATTTAGAAAGACACATTTTAATATTATTTTACCTACTCTTGAGCTTTTTTATACAGTTGGATGTTATTAATATTAACTTCCGACCAGAGCAAGATACCCACTTAGATGAAAACTAAAAATCAAAATTTAGAGTAATATTTTTATAACCTACAATTCGACCAGTTTCTGATCCACTAAGATCATATTTTGATCAATGTGATTTTACTCATTTTATAGAAAAATGAGAAAGTCTCATTTTGTCACCTTATTTTAGTCAGATTTTGACAAAGTAAAATGTAACGCAGTTTTGAAACAGCGCGAATAATAAAATGTTTCCTGATGTACGGTTCCCAAATATGAAAAGCAAAATAGTTTTCAACGACACTAGAGACTGCTGTAAATATCTAGAAAAAGAATTCAATGTAAATCCTCAATGTTGGTCCTAAGAAAAAAATTAATTGTTTAGCTTAGTATTGAGAAGATATATACTTTAGAAATTATCTTCTGGAAAATATTAATATTAAAAGATCATTGAACTTCATTAGTCATAATTTCATTATTTTATGGATTAAATAGAATAACATTAAATAATATTTCAGATTTATTGCTCACTGTATGTAATCATCATTTATCAAAGGTTTGTTACCTGTTGAAGACAAATCGGTAACAGCTGTTCTACAGTCTTTTACTACAAATATGACCACGTCTTGATATTCGAAATGATGCAATATGTCAATTGTTTAATAAACATTAAGTTCACGAATAAAGATAAAACAGTGTTCAGTATTAAGAGGCTTTCTTTCTTACTGCGTTTAAGGATATCATATATAAGTAAATTAAATACTAAGCCATTAAATCTTTTGATATCAACGAAACTGAATTTTCAAAAATTCAAATAGATTGATATTAATCAACGCGGATATTAGCCATACATAGAAAAAGAACATTATAAATACAAGAAGCGTATTTAAACAACGAAAATCAGTTTTAATTATGTTATACTTAGTACAGAGACACATGTAGAATCTCAAACATGTAATATCTTCACAATTAAAAGAGTAACGTGGGAGTGCGTGGGTGGGAAGCTTTTTTTAAACTCCATTAAAGTATTGAACTATGAAATGTAAGGAAGTACGGAAGGCGTCACCATATGCGAGAGGTGGGTGTAGGTCGTACTATGTACTATACAATGGGCTATGGATATGTCATCTTTCATCTCAGATAGTAATATTTATGTGTTAAGGTTTAGAGTACCGGTATCGTCACTCTGTTGAATTTTAATACTTGCCCCCGATACCCAGGTTTGGAAAGCATCGCTAAATCTGGTGTCTCTTAGTAGATAAGTTGATCGGTTTGTATTTTTAATGATACAATTCATTTCGAAGCGTATTTTGCACTAAAGGTGTTTGGGGATATCACGTGTTTTGAAATAGGTTTAATTCCTTAGGTTTAACCTCGCAGTCATTTAGACGCCCAGCACGGCCATCAGATTCGTTCATAATTCTACGTGCCTAACCTCATACGTAAGTAGTCTATGCAGGTCACAATACTGCCTTTACAGTTTACAAACTTTTTGCATTCGAATACAAAATCCACAACCAAAAAAAAAACCCTCTCGCGCGAAACACGAGTTTCTCCCCTAGTATATACTTAAAGTCATATGTATTGCAGTTAATTGAAATTTCCTATCATAATATACTTGATGGTAGGCATGAGTTTTTAGTGCATTGTTTCTGAAATCAATAACACATGTAGGTCTAAGTAAATCGAGAGGCAATAACAGTCCAATATCTGGTCTAAAGCAAAGGCCCTTGTCAGATTGAAGAACCACATCAGCAGGCTATTAATATGAAACTAGATGTACTTCCGAAAGGTATTCGATAGTGTTTTGTTTCAAGTATAAATAAAACCAAAATTAAGTGTAACAAATATCTTTATATCTTGGTTTTGAAGTTCATATGTCATGATGTGCTGTAGCCTACAGAGTGCATAATTATTCTCGTGATTCATGTCATGCGCACGTTTTACTAACGTCATGACAGTAAGTATAAATTGCAATGTGACATCATTTTAGTGTCTGCTGACTGACCGACAGATAACACACTACTACATAGTGGTGCGAGTGGATAAAACAGGTGATCCCTCCAGGCGGCCTTCGGCCCCCCTTTAGGGAAATTATAATACCACTTTCCGTAGTTTTTTACAGCACCAGATATAATTTCTCATCACAATCAAAATTCAGTCGAGATTCAAGGGGAGGGGAGAACTTACACCCGAAGACCCCCCTCTGAAAACATCTATGATATAAACAATGTATTTATATGTTTAATCGAAGTGATGTTTAACAACATATGTAAAACTGCAATTGAAAGGAATAGAATAATGTTTTGCTCAGATATTGTTGAGTCTTTTCCATTGCGCGATCCACATCTGTTGCAATCAACATTTATCTCAGGTGAGCATAAACAATAAAACTTTTCGAGTGTATAAATTTATAGATATGATGACATTGTTGCTTCTTCTTACAGCCACCATGTACAAGTTACAATGCGAACTGCCATGTGGTCGTCTATTCTACAGCAGATCGCTCCAGTTTTCAAAGTGCCAAATGTTTTCTAGACAAGCTATCAGATTCGGAAGGCGTCACTCAGCCTATCGTTCTAGTAGGAAACAAAACCGACCTGGTCCGTTTGCGCTCAGTCACCACAAATGGTACATATCATTTTAATGAAGTATTTGTGCGAATTTATGTTAGTTTTTAACATCTGTGGACATTTTGTATTTTTATGTTTTGTTATTTTAAAGGATTGTTTGTTTGTAATTAAGCACAAAGCTACACAAGGGGCTAGCTGTGCTCTGCTCACCACGGGTATCGAAACCCGGATTCTAGCGTTGTAAATCCGCAGACATACCGCTGTGCCACTGGGGGGCATTTTGAAGGAACAGCAATAAATAACAACAAGAAGTTTATCATTCTTATATTTACATGAATAACTTTACACCTCTTACAAGTTATTGGATTATTTAGTGCAGATATTATTAACATTAGCTCACAGCATAATCAAGCATTGAAAGTTTCTTTGATTAGTTATTACCTAAAATTTTCAGCATAGTTAACAGTTTAACTTCTTGCATAAAAGGGCAACCTTCTTTAAATGTTGGGCGTTATTCAAGGCTTAGCCTCCCTAGTTGCTCAGCAGTAAATCTGCAGGCTTATGACGCTAAAAATCAGGTTTCGATAACCGTGGTGGGCAGAGCACAGATAGCCCATTTTGTAGCTTTGAGCTTAATAACAAACAAAATTCACAAGATTAAGGATTATTTTTGGAAATGAAGCCATTTTAATTAATCTGTTCACCGAAACGTGTGTATATTTTCTACATATAGAAAGCACAAAAATCTGTGTCCGTCTGTTTGTGCGTTATCTAACAACTTCTATGTCCCTCGGCCATTCAAAACCGAACTTTGTGGTATGCTAGTTTGAAACAAGGGGCGTATTAACGGGGGTTCATAACTCCTTCCACTCCTCATTATTGCTGTTATTGAGCATTTATTATCTTTGACGTAAGTTAACGTTAATTGCATTCATAGATGGCGCCACGTCCTTACACAAAAAAGCTTTATTAAATAATCTGCATTACTACATACACACAGTGTGGGGGAGGGCAAACAAACGTTTTATGTATCTCAGATAATGCAATGAAAAAATGGCCGCCGCTATTGCAGTGATACATAAACTCAGCTGAAGCTTCTACGCTAACAGCCACCTTAAGGCTGATATGAAGACGCGAGTTTTGTGTTATACCAGCTTTCTACTTTGATCCGTAACCTTTCTACTTCGGCCTGTAAGACACTTTTGTGGCCAATGACCGTTTTGTCTATTAATTAATCACGTGAAACACTACGGAAGGACATTAAGAGCTGGGTGTTGAAAGTGGGTAACAGAAAGCATCCCTACCGCCAACTCTTTGGCTGCTCCTGACCCTTTGGTCACCCTGACCATCGCATATTGTATACCATGTTTTAAGCATATACGTCTTGCATTCTGAAAGCTTGCACACAATTTTTAGTGAGGTGATAATGAACACTGTAATAATTATGTGAAAATTAGGATTTTTGTGTTATTTATCATAGCATCTACCCACACATAACCCGGACAAAGGTCGGGTACCTCAGCTTGTACACACAGACATATATATATTGAAATGATTATTTGTAGGTGAGGGAAGAGCGCTAGTAATAAAAATCTGAATGCCACGAATAAGTATTTCTACAATTTTAGTATAGTTAGATTGCTGTTAGTTCTATACAAATACATTAATAATAATTTGTATATTTTGCCACTTAAATACTAGTATTTTTGATGTATAAAGTAATATTATTATTGATATTATTACTAATAATATGTCAGTATACATAATAACATGTAAAATGGATAAATGTACAATTCCATGTTTAAGTAAATATAAATTGTGATGCCTAACAAGGTAATCCTGGATCCACCCTCAATACGTTCGCCTCATAGGCCTACTCAGTACATCCAGTAGGCCTATACAGTGAGCCTAGTAGGCTTAACCTAAGCAAAGCGATTTCAGAGACAATTTTAGTGTGATTTATCGGACTTGGATTGAATTTATCTTATATTGAATTGCAATAAAATAAAGTATATAAATCAAAATGATATAGGTTTCCGGTACCCACTTCTACAAATGTCTTGTAATTCGGAAAGAGAAATTGTACGCTAATACAACAGTTAACAATGCATTGAAGAGTGAATTTTGAAATTTACAAAAACGACTTTTCTTTTATTTTGTTTCCGACCAAATGTTTCATTTTATGCATGTTATTTAACTTTTATGTTTAAAATCATTTATTTATAAATATATTCAGGTACATGCTATAATAGCTTTAGTTACATCAAACCTAAACATATTTTTAAAGTTATTCTGGGTAGTGATAAGCGACTAACAGTATTGTTCGCAACGTTTTTTATATCATGAAATAACGAAATATAACACTAAACTGTCTAAACACAGATACTGACTTGAAACCTCAAATTTTAAATATTCAAGCTTTTATTCTACCATCACTATCCACCTAATTATTACACTAACTTATGCTTAAAATAACAATGTTTTTTCATATTTGTCGCACGACTAATTTAATAATATATTACCATATCTGTATTTTCAACGTGTATTTATATATTTAGGATATTTGTAAACTATTACATTTAAATTAATACTCTAATCTACAACAAAATTCCGATGTAGAATTGACATGTTAGAATTATTTTAGCGTCATTGGACGTGTATATTGAAATGTTTATTATTTTGTTAAGCTAAGTTCAGAATCATATCAATCACTTTAATTAAGTTAGAAGACGGCTTGTATGAGTAACAAAGAAATATTTATTTCAAGTTTAATATAGTAGCAAATGTACAACGTTTCGACAAAGCTTTGTCATCAACAGGTACAAGTAGTTTACACAGATATAGGAATATTTATTCACAGTATGAAACAAAGAGTTCACATGACAGGAAATTGCTTAACAGCTTTCTTTGGACGTAATCTTAATTGAACAAAACAGCCCTACTCTAAACCACCACTTTGGGATGCCAAGATACCTTTACTAAGTTGTTAAGCAATCTCCTATCATGTGATTTCTTTGTTCCATACTCTATTATATTCTTGTGTTTACTTAAACTACTTGTATATGTTGAGGAAACTTTATCGCAGCTTTGTACATTCGTTACTATGTTAAACTTGTAATAAAGTTTTCTTCAGTATTCATTCAAGCGGTCTCCAAACTTTATTATTTAAACTAGCGAACCCATATTTAATGCTTGAACTACTATTTTGCACTTTTTCAGTTTAATTATCCTTGCCGCTATAATGCAAGTTTAATTCCTTTAACAAAGTTACGAACGATAATTAGTAGGCCTAGTTATTTACGTACTCTATACCAAATTTGGGGTCCGCTTTCGGGAAATCCTCGTAAAAGTGTTTTCCCTAAGGGGTTGGGTTAAAAGTTGGGCAGAAACGATTCGTTTGATACCACTTAGAAATTGGTGAGTCCAGCAGTTTAGGAGAAGGAATTTACGGGAAATCCCTGGGTTTTCCGAGCGGTAGGGTGAAATATTTTTCCTTTTTTTGTAAACCTTGGGACCGAGGCAATTCGTTTGATACCAATTAGAAGTCGGGAGACCAGCGGTTTAGGAGAAGTTATGTGACACACAGACACACATTGAATCTTATTGTATAGAAGTGAGTTTCCTGTCATAACATTTGAATCACTTCAAGTTTTAATGGTTTTAATGGTACAATAATTATTTGGCTCAAACAACTACATGTTAGCCAAGATACTACCTGTTGTCGCTACTCTTCCCCCTCCGTAATTCAACTTATCTTAAAAAGCAAAAATTCGGTCGGCTTTCGATCATTGCACTGGGCACAATACAGGTAGACATCGCACAGCTTTGTTCTTAAGAACTAAACGAAACGTCCTTCTCCCCAAGTTGTAGGGTTAGCAAATAAGGAACTAAAATCTTATTATCAAAGTAAACTTTCCTTGCCAACAATTCATACCTGGTATAATCACCCATGAAATAAAGTATAAGTCGAGTCCAGAACTCAAGTATCTTCTGTTTATTTATATATAAACCACGGAGAGTCAAACTGTTTTTTTTCATTTGCACAAGATTAGAAAGTGACATAATGATTGAGTTTATAGAATTAAAATCACTCTTTTGTAAAGTTTATTAAAGCAAGATTATTATATATAAATCACTGACAGCTAAATACTGAGGAAAGTATATAGTTGAAGCATATTTCATATTTACAATATTTAATTCATATTTACAGAAAAAAATCTTGTACGCTTTGTTGTTTTTCAGGTACTACCTAAATTGTTTTGTTTGTTGGATTAATTTCATTGTCACAAAATAACACACATTTATCCTTGTACATAATGATGCTTATTAATTAACAACGATTTTTTCGTCACCAGAGGGCCGAAAGCTAGCAAGGGAATATGGCTGCAAATTCATCGAAACGTCAGCATGTATTAATTACCACTTGGATGAGCTTCTTGTTGGAGTTGTGACTCAGATTAGATTAAAAATTCAACGCGAACAACAAAATCAGAAGAAAAAAACATCAATCAGGCCAGAAAAATCAGAATATAAAAAGAATGACGACTCTTTAAGGTCGAATAATAGAACCCTTTCTCTCAGAAAACTATTGGAAAGATTATTTCGAAAATCACGATCATGTGACAACTTCAACGTGCTCTAAATGAACTGAAGAATTACTGAAGTGTTCACTCATACAAGATTTAATCCATCTATGAAACTTATGTAGTTCGATTTTATTGGAAAATACGAGGACATCAAGAGGAATAAGTAGCCACCGTATTTCCTGAAAACAAGAATAACAAAACAAGCAAACAATAAGCTGTTAAAAAGAGTCCAGTTCGTTAAGCTGACATTGCCCTATTAACGTTGAAACACCGTTATCAGTGTAAGATACATTAGCACACATGTTTCTTTAGAAAAGTTTATGTGTGGCGAAGTGTATATCGTGCCGGACTGTGTATGCAAGAGTCCGTAGCTGTGTTCTTTTAACGGAAAATCACCCCAACATTCTGGGGCTGTGACAGTCAAATGTCATTATTGGATTAAAGTAGTCCAAGAACTGGCAGTGGGTGCTGTTGACTAGTTGCTGCACCTCTCGTCTATCGGTTCACAATCAGGAGCAGCTGGCACTTGTGTAGTAGTTTTATGTAAATATTAGAAACAAACCAACCTCGTTGAAAGGGAAACAAAAAACCTTCTTATATTTCACGAATTCCTGCTCGTTAAAAACATAACCAATTGTCATTATAACTTTAGCAATTAGTTTTTCGTTTCCTTTTCAATGAGGATACAAAAAATGGTGGTTATGTCATGTGGAACATTAATTAGTTGATGTAAGATATGTTGTTATAAGGACTTGCAGAGGTTAAGTATTTAACGATTGTGGTGCTCTCCTAATGTGATTATGGAAAATTCATAGTGGTTTAAAATGAAGAAAAAAGGAATATACAGTTTACGTACACGATGTTTTTGTATACGACTTCAACCTCTTATAATAAAGTTATAAAAAAGTGTATGTTGACTGACTAATAAAATAATAGCAGGATCTTTGTAAAATATGTATTTCATTAACACTATTAATAAATCAGCTCTTTTTCAAGATGCGTGTGTTTTATTAAGAAGGATAGAGTTAAGGTACTTGCCTATATTGCGATTCAAGTTTTATCTGATATTTTAGAGGAACAAACTTAAGAATGTCTTTGTTTAAATATGCAGAAAACTAGAGATGCGTATTACAAAGACAGTTCTTAAAAAAAGAAGTACGTTCCTTTTGCGTAGTATAAAATCAACGCTGTAGGTGTTTTAGGAATATCCCTAAGATACGAAATGTGGTTTAAACACACTCGGCATGTGGAGCCTTATCATTAAAAAAAGTAACGTAAAAACTGTTTCTGTGAAAAATTACTCTGTTAGACGTTTCTACCTGAGCTTTCAAAATATTTAAGATATTGTGCATGTTGAAAAGCTGAGCTGTTATATTTTAATATCTGTATATATATGTTGCCGTTTAAGTTTACAATCATGAAACTTTCAAGTGGGACTTTATATTTATAATCAACCCAATCTACTCCATACTGAGAATGCTAAAAAAAAACAATGATATTATGGAAGTAAGTTAGATTTTCAAAGAAACTTAGAATATTCTCAATTGCATAAGTATTCAACCCCTTTGCTACGAAAACCCTAAATCAGTTTAAGTGCTAAGGATTAGTTTAATAGGCCACAAAATTATTTTAATGATCTCTGTCCGTGTGTAATCAAAGTTGTTTAATTTGACTTCAGAGTAAATGCATCTCTTCAAGCCACAACTCACATAGTGATACGAAAACCAACCATGAAGTCCAAGGAGCTTTCCAAACAAGTGAGGGATAAAGTGGTATAGAAGCACAGATCAGGAGAAGGTTACAAGAAAATTTCAAAGTCTCTGATTATCCCTTTGAGTACGGTGAAGTCCATCATATCACCCAGTCACTACCCAGATCAGGCCGCTCTTTCAAACTAAGCAGCCAGGCAAGCAGGAAACTGGTTAGGGATGCCACTGTGAAGCCAACAGTGACTTTGAAAGATTTGCAAAGTTCCATGTTTAAGATGGGAGTCAGTGTTCATACATCGACAATATCCCGGTCCCTACACAAAGCTGGCCTGTATAGGCAAGTGGCAATAAAAAATGCATTACTGAAAAAGAATCATCTTAAATCTCGTATGAAATTTGCGAATAAATGATATTGCAAACATGTTGCAGAAGGTTTTGTGGTTACACAAAATAAAAATTGATCTTTCTGATCTAAATTCAAAGTCTTACGTCTGGCGCAAGCCTAACACAGCACAACAACCAGTCAACACAATCCCAACTGTCAAACATGATGGTGGCAGCATCATGTTATGGTGATGCTTCTCATCAGCAGGGACTGGGAAGCATCTCAGGATTGAGGCGAAGATGGATGGTGCAAAGTACAGGCAAATCCTATAGGAAAACCTGCTTGAGTCAGCCAAGATTCTAAAACTGAATCGAAAATTCACATTTGAGCAGAACAATGACCAAAAGCACAAGACTAAGATTACACTGGAGTGATTTCAAAAGAAGAAAGTGAATGTTCTGGAGTGGCCCACTCAAAGTCCTAACTTGAATCCAATGGAAAACTTATGGCAAGACTTGAAGATTGCAGTCCATCAACGATCCCTTAATGAATTCCCTTAATATTCTGTACTTGTCTGGATAGAAAGACTATTATAATTATCTTTTCTTTACTTTATACTTTTACATTAAACTCTGTAATACAGGAAGTTTAATATTCATCCATGAGCCACCTTATAGAGTTTAATTGAAATCGTAGTGATATATTATGAAATAAAGTGCATTTGTTTGTTTCAGATATTCATGCAAAGCTACACTAGGATCTCTGCGCAAATACTCATAGCCCCAAAGTATGGAGTGCAATTTTCGGCAACGGGAAGCGAACCATGGACCATTGGATTCATAATTTGGTACGTTAAAAACTAGGCCACACCATGCTCAGAGATAAAGTAAGAACATACAAAACTGATTCATATTAGTATTTCAGAATGGTGGTGGGTATAGGGTAAGCTGGAATGGTGGTGGGTATAGGGTAAACTGGAATGGTGGTAGGTCTATGGTAAATATACATGTCGTACAAAATCTGTATGAATGTAATACTCCAAAAGTTTACTACCATAAAATCATTTCGACCCTTATCCTCAGCTTGGCTTTTATTAGTCTTTTATCTGCAATTAAGAAGTAATCTTTACGTTAACTCTAACTATAGTGCAATATATAACGTTAATGTGCTTGAGACAGACGACTGGCTATTTCTTAATCATTTGGCTATCATTATTACTGTAGAAGGTTTCTACTGTGACTTAAAAATAGTCCACTGGTGTTAACCATACTTAGGTGACAGTAGTACATCCACGTGTTCTGGTTTATTGTTTAGGAAGATGTGAAAACTAATCCTTGCTGTGACTGCCATTTTAATGAAGTGAGAAAGTGGAACTTTCATGTTGTAATTATTGACTGTTTAAAATGATAATAATAATACGAACAATGGCGTATGCGTGAAGTACACAATTCTTATTTGATGTCTAATGTTCTATCTTAAGAATAAGAATATTAATATTTCATGTGATAGAATTTTAAATAAAATTTTTCTATTTTCAATAAAATATATAAGTAATAAATTATGACTTCCGCACAATTATTACGCAATACATGGTCGTTTAGGTCGTTCACACCAAGTTGTTTGGAATGCTAGCAATGTATTGCCATAACACGATATTAAAACAAGCGATGGTGTAATAAGCACCTCATGTCGCAAGCTATTAAATGTTACCAAGCGTAAAGTTATAGATTAATCTAAAAATATATATGAAACCCAATCTGCCACTCTTTTCACAGCTTATACCTGTTTTGGGGAATTTCATCAGCAACCGTGGACGAGGGCAAATCGAAGGATTAAAACTAGGTTTCATACGGAGGTGGAGTATATGTTATACCTGGTGTGTTTTGAATTGTATATTACTTGCCACAATTACCCTACATTTATAAAGGATTTTAAAATATGTAACATTGGTGTTACTAAACAAATTAGTAGCATCAGCATCACTATAAACAGATGCGAAAACAAGCACAGTTATAATAATATTTCACTTTAAATGTTGCATGTTTTATAAACGACTGAACTAATATAATCAAAACATATGTCATGTAAAAATAAAGCCAAATCTAAGGATGTTTCGTTAAATACCTAAACTGTATGTTAAGAGAAATTCACTTATCTGTCAGAATGAAGTAGATAAAATTTTTGGAAGTAAGTAACATGTTAACGTGTAACCTCGAGGAGTTAACTTACAAACAGAGAGTAGTGTAAACATTCAACATGCGCAGAAATCTTTCTATCTATATACTGTTTACACCAGAATAAGAACAGACCACTTTTCGAAAGCGCTGAAACCTATGGATGGTTTTATACGTCTGTTTGTATTAGGTCGTCAAGACATTAGTGTCGCGTTTTGAAACACTTTCATTAACGACCCCCAAAAACGTACATCACGTATAATAGTTAGACGAACCGCCTAAACGCCACGTTAGTGTAGCCTTTATAATGTGTTAAGTTTAGTATACACTAATCCCTTATAGTGATGGCACACGATGAGACACACGTTCGAAATTTAATGCTGTTTGAATACAAGAAGGGAAACAACGCTTCTGTAGCCACAAATAATATGAAAGAAGTTTATGGAAATGTTTT